GGTTTCTTTTCATGAAAGGGGGGTGGGTGGGGGGGTGATTTGCTTTTTGTTTTGTTTTCCTTTTTTGCGTATCGGAAAGCGTCAGTGGTTGGAGGGCGCCACTGGTAGATCATACTTCTTTACTTTCCCACTCTTGTTTCGGTCAGTCGTCTTACCCTTTTAAAAAATAAAAATTCAATCTTAAATGATCATTGTTGTATCGATTTTCTTCTCTTCACCTGAACAAACAAACAACGTATCGGAAGCTGGTCTGGACATTTCGTTTCACCTTTTCCTTCAAATGTAGGTCTATGTGAGTTTTTACGTCCCCATCGACACGATGTAGATCATTTAGGAAGCGGAGTGCTTTGACCCTGCCTGTCAGGGCCAACGATGATTGAGAAACCCATCACACGAGAACTGTACTGCTGATACATCGTTATCTCAGAATTATAAAATTCAATCTGACATTTTTGGTCGATTTGAGTTACTACGACCAAGAGATCAGAAACCGAATGTTCAATATTCCCTTTCAAAATCGTAAGATTTTTCGGAGTCTTTATCGAGATATTTTAAAACATTGCATCCGACAAAGCTTGACAAAATTCTTAACGTCAAAATATTATTGTCCAAACAAGGTACTGAGCGAATAGACTTTGAAATTGACATGTCGCGAGAAAAATCACACCCGCACACGCGAATGAGTAAACAAACACGCTATCTTAACATAATTATATATAATAATACATTTAATATAGCTTTTGTACAGAGCAAATTCCCACTCCCAAGCAAATTTATACATAATAATATGCACTTTAACATCGGTATCATCACTGTAGTAGACCTGATAGTACTCTGAAACGGTATTGATTTTCTAGATAGCATACAGCTGCTCAAAACAAAATACAACAAAACAAACTTTTAAAAGAAAAAGCGTATTTGTGCAAAAGTTGTTTTTTTCCTGTTTGATATAGGTAATTTCCTGTGTCACACTAACGCCAGAGACAGGAGGCGGCAAATATCTGGCTGCTAAAAATAGCAGTCTGGGAAAATACTCTCGCCAAAAGGATGAAGAATGATAGAGTTGTAGTTATAGTAATTTTTTAGGAAAATACAGACGACCCGAGACAAAGCTAACACGCTATTTCTCAGTCCCTCCCTCGCCCTATCTCTCACACTGTCTCTTTCTGTCTATTTATCTGTCTGTCTGTCTCTTTCTCTCTTTATCTATCAATCTATGTATTTATCTAATTATCTGTGTGTGTCTCTCTCTCTCTCT